GATCTACGCCACGGCCATGGCTGCACAGGAGCTACGCTGGCTCACCTACCTGCTGACTGACCTGGGTGAGCGGCCTCGTTCTCCTCCAGTTCTGTACGGCGACAACAAGGCAGCTCTTGCCTTGTGTTAGGAGCACAGACTGGAGCACAGAACAAAGCACATTGCTCTCCGTTACTTTCTGGCTCGAGAGTTGCAGCAGCGTGGCCAGCTTCGCCTTGTGTACGTGGACTCGAAGGCCAACACTGCTGATATATTCACCAAGGCGCTTCCGCCTAGTGATCATCAGCGGCACTGCACTGCGTTAGGCCTTGTGTCCACGTTCTCTCACTTGCTTACTTCTTGACTTTGCTTGTACTGTGATCTATATATATGTCCTTGCATGCTTGCACTTGCTAGGCTTTGATCACTGTACTACTTGTGTTCTTCTATATAAATCTGCATGTGAACTGGCCTTGTGGCCTTTGCTTGTGCTCAGAGAGTGTGGTGACGTTGTGATCCACCCTGAGCTTGCTTTGCTTTTCTTGACTGGTCTTGTGACCCCTTGCTCTCCCCCACTTTGCCTATGGGGGTGTGTCAAATTATATATGCTGCATATTGTGTAGGCTGTAGTGGGGTAGCCCATATGGGGTACAACCCAATTAGGGTTTACTACTTGTACTCCTGCATGCTGCTAGTTCAATCATTCCTGTCTCTAGTTTCTAACATTCAAGACACAGAAACATGTCCCCAACGTCATCAGGACAACGCGAAAAGTTGTCGGATTTTACTAGCACCAGACGCTTTAGAGAACTGCACGAGGATCTTGAAGGAAACGCTGAGTTGAAGTCGGGGGAATATAAGTCAAATTCTAGAGACTGAAGCGATGGCAGTTGTGCAAAAGAGAAGGACGACGAGTCTATGCTAACGTAGGTCTCCCACATGAAGGATAGTTTGGTAAGGCTAGAGAGGTGAGCGAGAGGCAACAAATCCTCTTCATCTACGTCTCCCGTCTCAATGGCAAGAGTTGATAAGAAAGAAAGATTTTGGAGCCTTGAATCCTTCAAAACTGAAACGTCAGTCAGGAACATCAAGCGCAGGTTCGCGAGATGAAATAACGAAGGTGGTAACTCGTCGCATTCGTGGAAGCAGTGGAGTGTCAACTGCTCTAGTCGAGAGCAGCAACGAAGAAAACGGTCGACACCAGCCCTGGTAACCGGATGAAATCTGATATCCTCACCATCTCTCCAAACGTCTGGTGCGTTCTCTTTTGCCACGTAGAGATTTTTCAGCTTAGGACACGACGATGCGAGATGATCGAGAAAAGCGTCGTGAAAATTTTCCACGCTGTTGGCAGAGAGATGCACATGCGTTAGATTTGGGAAGCAGGCGATCGCGTTTGACATATCCTGGAGCGAAACGACGCGGTGCTCTCCGACAAAGAGCGTCGAGACGTGCTGCCGAGCGAGAGCGCGCCATCGACGGCAAACAGCTGCGATGCTAAGGCTGTGAGAAGCGGCGGCTGAAGCAGGAAATTTCGCTGACGGAATTTCGATGTCTTCATGAAACAGCACTTTGGGTTCAACCAGGATCTCTTTTATGTCAGAGGTCCACTGGAGATCCCCGATTGATCCTAGGGAAGGGTTACAGGCACGGCGGCCTGAGGGGTTATGGGCGCACTCACCCGCTACACAAACAAGCCCTTTTATCCTAGTGGTTAGTGGCTGGGATTCTAACATGGTATCAGAGCGAAGGTCTTGGGTTCGAATCCCGGTGTGTGCACCTCGGGCATCCCAGTGCGGGGGGGTGTCAGAGGTCCACTGGAGATCCCCGATTGATCCTAGGGAAGGGTTACAGGCACGGCGGCCTGGGGGGTTATGGACGCACTCACCCGCTACACAAACAAGCCCTTTTATCCCAGTGGTTAGTGGTTGGGATTCTGACACTTTAGCACGGCCTGCCCTCGATCGGTTCCATGGAAGCTCACAATCGGATAGTCGAAAACTAAGGCGATTGGAATTCCAGAAAATCCTGACTAGGAGATCGTCAGGCAGATTGTTCACGCACGTAGAAAACGCCATTTCAGGAGTCGAAAAGGATGTCAGCAAGTGAGCAGTTCGTTAGGTCTTCGTGAAAACAGCAATCAGGAGATTCAGCGAAAGGCAATATAGTTTCCAGATGAAGGTATGGCGGCACCTATCACTGGTGACAATGGTCTTATCTCGCCTAATCTGTCCACTCGTTTTCCCCCCAAGTCTTGTTGGGATGCCAGGTTGCGGACCCTAGGGCGTGTACACCTCGTTTTCCAGTGTTCGTCACAAGCAGTTCCACATTGTTCCCGAACCATGTGAAGTGCTCTGGAATGAAACCGACAGTTGATATGGAAACAATACCCTTGACACTACCTCTGCTCTGCCTCTGCTTCGCGAAATTATTCAAAAACTCACACTACCACAGCTGATTTCGACTAATCGCATTTTACCTCGCCAATCCGTCTCTTTCTCTAAAAACAGAAGCTTTTCAATTACCGGGACGCTCGATCCCCTCCATGGACAGTTTCAGCATGTCAGAATGTTATTATCTAGCCTGTAGTGGGGTGCTCTATAGCGAGTACAACCCTGTTAGGGTTTGCTATATGTATCCCAACTACTGCTAGTGAAACCTCTCCTTTCTTCATTCTTGTTTCTCACTTCTAGTTTTGACATGCTATCAGAGCAGGTCGACCCCCTTGGGTCGATCCTGTGGGTGGGCCCGCCACCTAACTGCTTCCGCTGCTGTTCTGCTTCTCGCGCGCCTCGGGCGCGCGCCGTCTTCTTTCTGCCCGCCGTGTGCCCCGGGGCGCGCGGCGGTTTCCTACATGGCGCGCCCCCCCGTCGGCCCTCGCGTCGCCTCAGGGGACCCGCGCGCCACCCCCGTCGGCCCTCGCGTCGCCTCAGGGGACCCGCGCGCCACCCCCGTCGGCCCTCGCGTTGCCCCAGGGGACCCGCGCGCGCCCCTCGTCGGCGCTCGCTCTGCCCCGCGGGACCCGCGCGCCACCCCCGTCGACCCTCGCGTCACCCCCGGGGCCCCGCGTGCCACCCCTGGAGCCGTGCGCGACCCCCCCGCTGCCCCGTCGCGGCGCCCTGGGGAGCCGCGCGCGGCCCCTCGCTGCCCCGTGGTGGCGCCCTGGGGGTCGCGCGCCGTCCCCCTCGCTGTCCCCCGCGCTCCTACCCCGTGTCACCCGTTTTAGGGTTTGGGGTTGAGGAGTGTGGGGGTGGCGGTTGTGGGGTTGCCGGTTGTGTGCACCGTTCCCTACTCCTCCTCCTCCTCCGTCTCCCGCTGCTGCAGCTGCCGCTCAGGGGGGTGGGTGTGTGGGAGCCGAGGGTTTAGGGTTTAAGGGGGGTGCCGTGGGAGTGGAGCTAGGGGTGCAGCAGGGGGTGTGTGTGAAAGGGGGGTGGGACAGTCGGGGGAAGTTGCGTGGAGGCTGCCATCGTGTCGTTCGCAGCGCCTGTAGTCCGGAGCCGTCGTGCTCTCGGTAGCCCAGAGAGCCTTGCTGTGCCAGTCGCCCGTGGGTCCGTTGCTTCTGCCGCGCCGCAGAGCCTGTTACTCCCTGTAGTCTGGTGCCCTCGTGCGCCGGTAGCCACTGTGCCAGTCCTTTTGTTGCCCGTGTGTCTGCAGCTTCAGCCGTCGCCTCCCATCTTCTCGCCCCCACAGTCTCTCCTCCTCCTCACTTGCCCTCTGTGATAGCCTCTAGCTTTGCTTGCTTATTGTGCTGATTACACCCCACTTTGGCTATGGGGGTGTGTCAGAATGTTATTATCTAGCCTGTAGTGGGGTGCTCTGTAGCGAGTACAACCCAGTTAGGGTTTGCTATATGTATCCCAACTACTGCTAGTGAAACCTCTCCTTTCTTCATTCTTGTTTCTCACTCAGCAAGCAGAGTACCACGTCCTGAGTTGCTGCCCTGATTTGGTTGGACTTAAATTACAGTTCTCGAGGAGAAACTCGAGAGCAGAGGATGCCGCCAGATGGCTTGTTCGATGCGAATTTGCCGAGGCGCCATGGCGTCAGGGTGGGGTTTATTTAGAATAAGGGAATGAGCATATCCTGTGAAAAACATAGGCTTCCTTCCTGCATAATGGGATAGTCTCCCAACCTGTCCCATGAATAAAAGTAGAATGTCAATAAATAACCTTTCCCATGAATAAATTACCGGTACTACGGTGTGTCTCCTAAGAATGAACACCTGGCGCTGATCATGCACCAAGGCTAACAATAAGAAAATGAGCAGAAAGAGAGCTCGTGCTTATCAAGGTGCGATCACATCTCGCGAATATCCAAGTCACAGCTACTCCCCAAGCTGTTCTATACATTATTTAGAGCAACCAAGCTTACGTGATCCAGCCTATCGCTACAGATTGGTGAAATGTGACACTAGACATCCCATCCCAGCGCACCTTACAACTACCATCATCACCATTCTTGTTTCAGCTCCACCCCACATGCCCCTTGCCATCACCACCACAATCACCACCACCACCAAGTGTCCTCGGTACCCCTCCTCTCCCCATCCCACCTCCTCCCACCTCTTCCTCCTTTCTTCCTCCAAACACAACATCCCCCTGTTCAGCCACCACCTTTATAAGTAAACCCAGGCACATCGGAACACAATAAAATCTTCCTCATATTTCTCGCCCGCCCCACTCAGTGTATTCCCACCAGCAGCACCACCACCCGCACCACCGGCACCGCACCCCCTGCCCCTCCTCCTCCCTCCTTGCGCCCAAACACCATCTCATCCAGCTCAGCCAACTCCCTCTCCTCATGTGACTTTGTGCCCTCCTCCCTGTCCCTGCGTCTAACCTCAAAACACAATCAAATCGTCCTCTTCTTTCTTTCCAGCCCCACTCTGTGTACTCCCACCACCCGCACCACCCGGACCCCCCGCCCCTCCTCCCTCCTTGCGCCCAAACACCATTTCATCCAGCTCAGCCAACTCCCTCTCCTTCTCACATGCTCTACCCTGTCCCTCGCTGGATCTATTCTCAAAACACAATCAAATCGTCCTCTTCTTTCTTGCCCGCTCCACTCTGTGTACTCCCACCACCCGCACCAGTCGCACCCGCACCACTCCCTGCCCCTCCTCCTCCCTCCTTGCGCCCAAACACCATTTCATCCAGCTCAGCCAACTCCCTCTCCTCCTCGCTCATCCCCGCTCTCCTATTCCCCCCTCCCCGGTTCCTCACCAGCCCGCCCGCCCCACCCTCCTCCTCCTCATCCATCGTCAGGAAGGCAGCAGCTGGGGGAGGCACAACCGGCGGCACCGCCGTCGCAGCTGCACCTGCTGGTTGCTCCGCTGCCGCCACTGCTGCATCTCCAACTCCTGCTCCCACTCCCGCTGCTGCTCCCGTTACTGCTCCTGCCCCAGCAGCAGCAGCAGCAGAGGCCTGTTTGCGCAGCTCAGCCAGCTTTTCAAGTACTTTGTCAATGTCGTCGTTCAGGCTGAGTGCCTCGAACAGCAGTGTCTCGCTGGGGGCCTCTGAGTTGCTGTTCTCGTGCTCGATCAGCCGCAGCAGACTGCTCTTGGCCGCCCGGCATTGTGCTGCCAGCGCTGGCACCACCTCGTCCTGTTGAGGGTTCAACGCATCGAACAGACAGTGAAGGCACAGTCGTTGAGTGCTCTAAACAGTAGTGCCTTGCTGAGTGCCTAGATCATACGTTTTAAACAACACCAGTTCTGTGCAGGATGTGCTTCGGAGATTGGGAAATGGATAAGGGAGGAAATGAAAGGGAAAGGCGAGGAATGAAAGAAAGCAGGAAGGAGGTTGAACGAAGGGCGGCAAATGAGACGAATGTAGCGGTACCTTAGTTAAGTTTGCAGTATCATGGGTGGCGTGATAACAGCCATGCTCTGTTACATCCTTTGTTATGTTACCACAATTCAATATTCGCCGTACATACAACCATGCCACCATGCACCCAGCCATGCCACCATGCACCAAACCATGCCATTATGCACCCAACCATGCCATCAATCATGCACCCAACCATGCCACCATGCACCCAACCATGCCATCAATCATGCACCCAACCATGCCATCATGCACCCAACCATGCCACCATGCACCTAACCATGCCACTATAGTTCTTGAGGTGGTAACTGAATTTAGCACTTGCATGGCAGAGCGGTGGACAGCACAACGCCACCCAGCACTTCAGCACCAATAACAATCTCACGTATTTAATAATCTCCCCTATCTCTCTTCTTCTTTAGCTCTTCTTCCCTCGTCTCTTCTTCTTCTCTTTCCTTCTTCCTGTCCCTCCCTCACTCTTCCCCCCCCACCCTTCCCTCCCTCCCTCCATCCCCCTCCCTCCCCCTGCACTCGCTCCCGCACACACCATCAGCACCTGCTCAGGAGGAGCAGACAACAGCATGGTCACCAGCAGCTCAACGCTGTTCCTCAGATCTCAAAGTTCTCCTTGCTATCGAACACAACCACGTGCTCGCCCTCTCTCCCTCCCTCCTCTCCTCTCTCCCTCCCTCCTTTCCTCTCTCCCTCCCTCCTTTCCTCTCTCCCTCCCTCCTTTCCTCTCCCCCCTCCTCCCTCTCCCTCCCTCCTCCTCTCTCCCTCCCTCCTTTCCTCTCTCCCTCCCTCCTTTCCTCTCTCCCTCCCTCCTTTCCTCTCTCCCTCCCTCCTTTCCTCTCTCCCTCCCTCCTTTCCTCTCTCTCCCTCCCTCCTCTTTCCTCTCTCCCTCCCTCCTTTCCTCTTTCCCTCCCTCCTTTCCTCTCTCCCTCACTCCTTTCCTCTCTCCCTCCCTCCTTTCCTCTCTCCCTCCCTCCTTTCCTCTCTCCCTCCCTCCTTTCCTCTCTCCCTCCCTCCTTTCCTCTCTCCCTCCCTCCTTTCCTCTCTCCCTCCCTCCTTTCCTCTCTCCCTCCCTCCCTACTGTTGGTGTTAGCCCTCAATCTCACATTTTGTACTTGTACTTTTATATCCTAGTTTAGTGTAGTTTGCACTTTGTGTTTGGTTGGGTGTACACCCACATCCCAACCAAACCCAAATGTAATCTCCAAGCAATCTCCAACCCACCAATTGGAGATTGCCTTGGGATTACCCTTGATTCCCTAGGATTGCCCCCTGATTCCCTCCTCATCCATACCTTGCTCATTTCTGATGTACTTAAAGAGCTTTGAGCTCACTACTAATGTATCAGTTCTAAGCCTAAGTTCTGACACCTACCTCCCTCCCTCCTTCAGTCACCGTGAGCACTTGCTCAGGAGGAGCAGAGGACAGCACGGTCCCCAGAAGTTCAACACTATTTTGCGAGATTTCAAACATCTCCTTGCTGTCAAACACCACCATGTGCCCGTCCTCCCTTTCCCTTCCCCTTCTTCCCTCCCTTTCCCTTTCCCCCTCCCCTCTCTTTCTCTTTTCCCCCTTTTCCTTTCCATGTTTTCTTTCCTCCCTCCTTCCCTTTCCCCCCCATCAACTCACAGTGAGCACTTGCTCATGAGGAGCAGTGGACAGCACGGTCCCCAGCAGCTCGACGCTGTTCCTCGAGATTTCAAATATCTCCTTGCTGTCAAACACCACCATGTGCCCGCCCTCCCTTTCCCTTCCTCCTTACCTTTCCCTTTCCCCCTTCCCTCCCTTTCCCCCTTCCCTCCCTTTCCCTTTCCCCCTTCTCCTTCCCCACTTTCCCGTTCACCCTTCTCCTTTCCACGTTTCCCTTCCTCCCTCCTTCCCTCCCTCCCTTTTCCTCAACTCACAGTGAGCACTTGTTCGGGCGGGGCAGACGACAGCACAGTTCCCAGCAGCTCAACGCTGTTCCTCGAGATCTCAAAGATCTCCTTGCTGTCAAACACCACCATGTGCCCTCCCTCCGGCCTTGGGACCATCGACACGCCAGGTGGCGCCACCTCATTGGCCATCTGCCCCTCCACCGACTCCAGCAGCGCGTGGGCGGCTTGCACGGCGGCGGGCGGCACACTGGCGGGCGGCGTGAAGATGGGCGCGAGGGACTCGGCGTCACGAGGCGGGAATACCACTCCTCGCATCTTGAGGCTCTGAGAGGCGCAGAAGGGGAAGCGGGAAAGAGAGAAAGATGGGAACACCACCCCACGCATCTGAATGAGGGCGGCACGCTGGCAGGTGGCGTGAAGATGGGCGCGAGGGACTCGGCGTCGCGCGGTGGGAACACCACCCCACACATCTTGAGGCTCTGAGGTGAAGCATAGAGGGTGACGAGGGAAGAGAGAGAGGGGGGGACGGGTTGAATGGAGAGAGCGCTAGCGACGGGCGGCACACCAGAGAGGGCGGCGTGAAGATGGGCGCAAGGCACTCGGCAAAGGAAAGAAGACCACCCCACGCATCTTGAGGCTCTGGAGGAAGCAGAGAGGGTGAGAGAGAAATGGGAGAGGGTGAGAGAGAAATGGGAGAGGGAGAGAGGGGCGGCGTGAAGATGGGCGCGAGAGACTCGGCGTCGCGGGGTGGGAAGACCACGCCACTCATCTTGAGGCTCTGGGAGGTACGGAAGGTGAAGGGGGAGAGAGGAAGAATAGTTTCAGCCACCCCCATGACGCGCACGCTATGACGCTTTATTGACTCAAACGTAGGCCAGCACGGCAGGGAGTTTGAGTCGACTTAGAATTGTGTCTAGGACCTTGCCGTTCGCACGTGTTCTGTTTCGAAGCGCCAAAATTGGACGCGCTGTCATAGTCAAACGTCTCAAAACGCCCACTACGCGCACATTGCATCGCATCTTGTCAAGCGGTACCTCGTGTCGCAGGTGAAGCGGTGTGAAACGAGGCGAGGTGAAGCGAGATGAAGTGAGGTGACGCGAAGGTGAAGGGAGGCGAAGCGAGACGAAACGAGGTGAAACGAGGTGGCGCGAGATGAATCAAAGTGAAGCGAAGTGACAAGGTGAAGCGCGATTTGACACAGACCAGACCTAAACTTACCTTATACGTTTCTTCGAACACAGGAAGGTATCACAGCTTCTCCGCGGCCACGCCCCACGCCTCGATCATCTTGTGACCTTCTTCTCGCATCTGAGCCGCACTACCAGCCACCAAAGCCTGCTCCCTTAATCTAACCTTGTACGTTTCTTCCAAGACAGGAACGTACCGCAGCTGCTCGGTTGCCTCCCCCACGCCTCGATCATCTTCAGCACTCTCTCCCGCAGCTGCGCCGCGCTGTGCGGCATCAAAGCCCGCATCCCCCCCCCCAATCTTAACTTGTATGTTTCTTCAAACACGGGAAGGTACCGCAACTCCTCCGTGGCCTCCCCCCACGCTTCGATCATCTTGAGCACCTTCTCCCGCAGCTGCGCCGCACTGTGCGGCAGCAAAGCTTACCCCTCCCCCCCAATCCCCTTACCTTGTACGTTTCTTCAAACACGGGCAGGTACCGCAGCTCCTCGGTTGCCTCCCCCCACGCTTCGATCATCTTGAGCACCTTCTCGCGCAGCTGCGCCGCGCTGTGCGGCTCGTCCGCGATGCGCACCATGTCGTCCAGCACGCGCTCGTTCGCCACGTCGGAAAACAGCGACGAGCAGTTCTTAACGGCCATCTCCAGCAAAGCCAGCGCCAGCATCTGCACGTGCGAGTTTCGCGACCCGAGCTGCTTCTTAATCGCGCGCACCGTCTCACCACCCGGGAGCTTTCCTGAGTTAACGAGGTCGCAGATTAAGAGATTTCGACCCCAGTCAGGGGAGATTAAGATCTCGTCGGTTGCTTCTTCCACCAGGCGCTCCGCGAGCGTCGGCGTGTGGAAGATGTTTTTCATCTTGTCGCCGATTTCCGTCATTGATTCCGTCAGTTTCCCGCCAACGGCGGTCATCGATTCCCCCATTTTCTTCCCCATCGTGGCGAGACGCGCCTTCCAGTCTTCGCCCGTGTGGCTGCTGGTGCCGCCCAGCAGTCCCTCATCTTGCGGATCGTCTGAACCGCGGAGAGTCACGTAACCCGCCATACTTGAGAAGGTCGTCTCGCTATTTAGCAATTGACAACTTGTACGGATGCTAGAAATGTGAATTCTGGTTCTGGCAGTTTTCTTGGAGGTTGGGGAAGAGTTCCGAGGTGGCGGAGGTGCGTAGAAGAAACGTCAAGTGGATGGAAAGCGGGACAGATGGAAAACTGGGACAGATGGAAAACGGAAACGTGGAAAGCGGAGAATCTTGAGAAAGCCCAGACGAGAAGCAGTTTCCAGGGCTCCATCCATGCTTGCTGAAAGCCGATGACGGACGGAAACGGAACGACGACGGAAGGTGCTCACGGAGGTTACATTCCGTCAGCGATTGCACTGACAAGGCAGATGCATCCAGGCCATTCCCCACACAACCGACATTTCCAGTTTGAACATGGAACTGTTTCAGGTGCCCGATTGGAATGAAGATATTCCGCATTGTGCGCCTTGATACGCGGAAAGGACGGAATTTCGCAAGTGTAGAAAATTATTGTACTACACGTCGGATTGGCTGACGGTGGACACAGCAGGCAAAACCAGCCAAGCAAGTGGCGATTTGACCCGATTCAGAGCTCGCAATTAACCCAAGCTGGCTTATGAAATTATTCATTAGAAAAACTAGATCTCACACAGCTCTACTACCAGTAACTTATGACATGGTACTTGGTAGCAGAAGAGAAGTACTAATTCAACACAGCAAGTCAATTGATGACAATTGAATCGCTTGTTCCCACCCATCCAGCTTTCATCCAAACACCATCACTTTTTACTCTCCCTCACCTACCATAACCCCCCTGGTACCCCCCTCCAACATACGACCCAGTCTGATAATCATACGTCGCTTGCCCTCCACTCAGCTGCGCTCCTCCCGCCCCCCCTCCCACCCCACCACCCCCCTGCCCCTGATCCCCCTGCACCGCATAATACACCGTCGTACCCGCCGCCCCCACCTCCCCTCCATACATCCCCCTCTGCACCAGCACCTGCGGTCCAGTCCCCGCATCAGTCACATACGTTACCGTCCCCCCCAAACCACTGCCCAAACCCCCCACTCCCCCTGCAGCATACAGCCCTCCCCCTAGCCCTGCCCCTGCACCTGGGGAGGTGAGACCTGACCCCATGGGTCCAACCCCATACACCACCTCCTGCCCCAGGCTGCCTGGCCCCCCACTAGCTGTCGCATAGATGGCACCTCCCCCAGCCATACCTGCCCCTCCAAGAGAATACGCTGCTTGCCCTTGCCCCTGCCCCTGCCCCTGCACCTGAATCTGCACTTGACCCTGCCCGCCAGAGTATCCGCCCCCTCCCCCTCCTCCTCCCCCGCTGTACCTAGGAGGAGGGTCGTATCTGCTGCTCCCCCCCCACCCCCACCTCCACCTCCTCCCCCTCCTGCGCCTGCTCGTCCCGGGGATGCTGCTCCTGGTCGTGACCGGCCGTACGAGCGGGGAGAAGAGGACACTCCACCCCTCGCACCACCACCACCACCACCTCCTCCCCCACCACTGCCACCACCAAGAAAATCACCACCACCACCGCCAAACCCACCACCACTGCCACCGCCGCCGCCGCCGCCCCTCGCACCACCACCCCTCGCCCCGCCCACAGCCCGGGCAGCTGCCGCCACCCGCAGATTCGCCACAGCGACAGCATTCGAACCAGAGCCGATCACAGCACCGCTGCCACCACCACCAAAGCCTCCCATGGGGCCAGTGCTAGTGGCAAGGCGCTGCCGTTTCGCCGCCATGGCCTGCTGCACGCGCGTCTCGTGCGCGGCGCGCTTGGCGACCTGTGCCTGCTGCTTGCGCAGCTGGCGGTTCTTCTCGAGCTGCTCAATGCGCTTGGTGAGGTTGTCCGTTGAAAATAGGGTCTTGAGACCGCAGTCGTCCACACAGCGGATGATGGCCCGCACCATGCTGATCTCCCTTGACGTGGCTTCGTTCTAAGGGGTAGAGGGAGGGGAAGGGGGAGCGGAAGGGGGAGCAGGAGGGGTGAGAGAAAGCAGGGGAGACCAGATGGAGTGGTGTGAGAGGGAGTGGCACACAGGGGATGAGTGGCTGTGGCAGCAGCATGCCTGCTGCTTGCGCAGCTGGTGGTTCTTCTCGAGCTGCTCAATGCGCTTGGTGAGATCGTCCGTTGAAAAAAGCTGCTTGAGATTGCAGTCGTCCACACAGCGGATGATGGCCCGCACCATGCTGATCTCCCTTGACGTGGCTTCGTTCTAAGGGGTAGAGGGAGGGGAAGGGGGAGCGGAAGGGGGAGCAGGAGGGGTGAGAGAAAGCAGGGGAGACCAGATGGAGTGGTGTGAGAGGGAGTGGCACACAGGGGATGAGTGGCTGTGGCAGCAGCATGCCTGCTGCTTGCGCAGCTGGTGGTTCTTCTCGAGCTGCTCAATGCGCTTGGTGAGATCGTCCGTTGAAAAAAGCTGCTTGAGATTGCAGTCGTCCACACAGCGGATGATGGCCCGCACCATGCTGATCTCCCTTGACGTGGCTTCGTTCTGAGGGGGAGGGGAACAGTGAGAGAAGGCAGGGGCGACCAGAGGCAAGGGTGTGAGAGGGAATGGCACACAGCGAACGAGTGTCTACGCCTGCTGCTTGCTGCTTGCAGGGCTTCGCATGTCATTCCTACTAGGTTGGACCCAGGCATGGACAACAGGAAGAGAACCGAGGCTATTGGCTTGGACCTAGACACGGCCAACGGGACGAGACCTGTGCCTCGGTCCTCTCCAATAGCCTCGGAACTCATCCTGTTGCCCGAGTCTGTGTCCAACCCAATGTCATTCTTGGGGATCTTACCATTGCAGAGCATGGGAATGCATGGCGTCGGATGCTACAGCAAGCAACACAGGCCCACCCACTCTTACCTCGGCCTGCAGCGACTTGTCCTTCTTAGTCATGGCGGAGACCAGCGTGCGGATCTCCCGCAGGTTGCGTTTGAGCAGGTCAACGGGGTCAACCTGGTCAAGCAGGTCAACGCCATGCGCCAGGTAGATGGCGTCCACCTCGCGCCCCTCCTTCACCAGCCGCTCAACCACGGCTGCATGGTGCAGGTGCAGCATCACAACAGCACATGGCAGACACACGGGAAGACAGGAAGAAAAGAAGGCACAGATGAGCGGGTTTCAAGTGAGCGCCAGGTAGATGGCGTCCACCTCGCGCCCCTCCTTCACCAGCCGTTCAACCACGGCTGCAGGGGAAAACGCGGGCAGTAGCAGGACAGGAATAAGAGGAGGCACAGACGAGCGGGTCAACGGGGTCAACGGGAGGTTAATGGGGTCAACGGGGTCAGGGGTGGGGGGGTCATCGTTTTCAGGGGGAGGTCAACCTAGTCATGCCGTGCGCCAGGTAAATGGCGTCTACCTCCCGTCCTGCCTTCACCAACCGCTGCACCACCGTTGCAGGGGGCAATGCCATAACAGTTGCAACAGCGGAACAGTACAACAGCACAACAGCACAACTGTACCACAGCAGCGCAACGCAGTGCAACACAGCACTTGTGGCCCTTTCACGGCCCAACTCACGCTTCAAACCTTGCCGTCGCTGGAGGCCGCGCTTACAGCCTAACATGCAGCAGCCGAGAGCAGCGACGCTGAGAGAGACTCGCGTTCACGCTCTGCCTTGCCTTGCATGCCACACATGCGCATCCTGTGGAGTGGACGCGCGATCAGCCCGCACTCCACTCCTGTGCACCAGCTTCACTGGCAAGCCCTCATTGATAAGTCCATTTTTACAGTCAACTCAAAAATCAACCATCAGCCCACACTGCACTCCTGTTCACAAGCAGCCAGCTTCACTGGCAAGCCCTCATTCCGTGCCCTTGCTATCAACTGGGCTGGGGCACAAACGCTCTTGGATTACATTCCTCACCTGGCGACTTGTAACAGGCCTGTTTTCCCACTTGACCTCCTGTCAAGCATGTAATTGGTCCAGTCCATGGCCTTGGCCATAACCACTGTGGGCATGCGCGAGCGGCAGCCGTGAGCCCGACCTACCGCCATGAGCGAACCTCCAAGTGACTCCTACCTACCTCCATCCAGCACCCAATAAAAGTTTCCCACCTGCGAGCCCCATTGCCTTACGGTGGCCTCGCCATACGGCCACAGCAACTTATCAATGGCCGTACGGCCACAGCAACATATCAATGGCCATACGGCCACAGCAACTTATCAATGGCCATACGGCCACAGCAACTTATCAATGGCCGTACGGCCACAGCAACTTATCAATGGCCATACGGCCACAGCAACTTATCAATGGCCGTACGGCCACAGCAACTTATCAATGGCCGTACGGCCACAGCAACTTATCAATGGCCGTACGGCCACAGCAACTTATCAATGGCCGTACGGATACAGCAACTTATCCATGGCCATACGGCCACAGCAACTTATCAATGGCCGTATGGCCACAGCAACTTATCAATGGCCGTACGGCCACAGCAACTTATCAATGGCCGTACGGCCCAGACGCAGACATAAACCCCACCTGGCATCTTGTCCACGAGCCCCATGGCCTTCACCATGTCGGCCGTCTGCTTTCGCCGCGCGGACGCCGCCACAAACCCTAGCAGCGCGTCTTCGTCTCCCCCCACCTGCCGCGTCACGCCAAAAACCGCCGCCACCTGCAGCACCAGCCACGCGTCCAGCGACGAAGCTTCCTCCGCCTTGCTCAACGGCCCCCCGCTCCGCACCCACCCCTCCAGAATCCCCCGCGCCTTCTCCTGTATCGAGGGCGCAATAACGGGGACGGAAACCCCCTCCGCCTTGGCCTGCTTGGCCAAAACCTGCCCTAGGGTTTCCACCAGGAGGGAAACGGCGCGCACGTGGGTCGGCTCGACGGGCTCGCGCCGCTTATCCTTGCCGGCCGCGCCGGCCGCGGGTGCTTCGACGGCCTTGGGTTTGTAGGAGTCCAGGCAGGAGAGGACGAGGCGGCAGGGGTCGAGCGCGAGGGGGAGCGCGTGCGGAAGCTCCGCGCGCACGCGGCTAATGTCGCGGCGGTTCTGCATCACGTAGCGCTTCAGGCCCTCCGCGTCCATCCCCGCGCACAGCGCACGCAGCTCCGCGCTCACGCGCACCGCCGCCTCCCCCGAGTCGTTCCCGGATTTCGGGATCTTGTCAGACTTGCCGTCCTTGGAGGGAGTAGTAGCGGTCTCGGCTGTAACAGCGGCTGTAGCCGCTTTCTTACTGGCGGGCTCGCTAGGAGCAGCCTCGGTGCCAGCTTGCTTTCCAGTCGGCTTGTCTTCGCTGGCCGCGCGTGCAGCACGGGCTGAGCCCGATGCCTTATCCTTGTCCCCTTCAGATCGGGCCTCTTCCTTCACCTTCTCCTCCTCCTTTTTCACCTCTTCCGATACCTTCTCCTTCTCCTTCTCCTTCTCCTTCTCCTTCTTATCCTCCTCACCCACTTCCTTCCTATCAGTCTCTTTCCTGCCCTTGTCGCTACTCTCCTTCCTCTCGCTCTCACGCCTCGCCTTATCACTCCCTTCCTTACCCTTCCCACTCGACGCCTTGTCCTTCTCGCGGCTCTTCTCCTTCTCCTCCTGCCATTTCTTCCTCTCCTCCGCAAGAGCAGCAAAAGCTGCATCCCGCTGTTCCTGCACTCGCTGCATCGACGCAGATTCGCGAGACGAGATCGCACTCTCTCGCTTATCGAGTTGCATTGTAACGGATCGCGTCTTCTCCTCTAAGGCTCGCTCTCGCTCGCTCACGTCCTGCTCCCGCTTTCGGAGCCTCTCCTCGCTCGCGGCGAAAAACTCGTCCAGCTCTTTCCACTGCGCGATGCAGCTCGCGAGCATCGCCGATTTCGCCTGCAGGTCCGCGAAAGACCGGCGAACGTTTTCGTAACGAATCGCGTACCCTGGAATCTGCGCGTCGGGACCATCGGTGTCGACATTTACCATCTCTTGATCCGCATCCTCCGCCGTGTTTCCCGGTACACTCGCGTCCTCTGCATTCCCCGGCGACCCGTCCACATCCTCAGGTTCACCCTCGAGATCAAATTCGTCGTTCTTATCCGCATTGTCCACGTCAGCCTTTCCGTCCACGTCAGCTCCAGGTTGCTCCTCCAAGTCGATTACACCATCCTTAACGTTTTCAGTCACTTTCTCGTCGGCATCAGTCGCGCCGTTAGTTGTCATATCGGTTACTGATTCTGACTTTATCATGAGGAGGAAACGGGGGAGAGATCCGCAATAGTAAAAGCACGAGACAAGGATAGGAACGGGATGGGACATACGAAGGAAGGGATTATTGACCGGATCTAAAGATGGTGAGAGTGGAGCTATATTAGAAAAGCAGAACTGACAAAAAAATAAAAATAGAAATCAAACGGCTCGAAAACACGATAGAAACATACAGAATTCTCGAGGAAGATTACATGGGAGTAAAGAAACATACAGAATTCTCGAGGAAATTAGACGTGTCAGTTCAACGCGGATGATGCAGCGAACTGGAATGAAGCGAGCAGGGAGCTTTGTGGTGAAAGCTCGGTTTACGAGAACCCCTAGAAATGGGATGAGGGAATATCAGATAGGGTTTGGTACAGCAGATGGCGCTGGCGTGAATGGGAAAGGAAGGGTTACGGTACTGTACGGTGAATGGGATGGAAAAGGGTAAGGGTACAGCAAACGGAGGGAGGGAGGGGAGAGCGAGGAGAGGAGGGAAAGAAAGTCAACGGCGAGATGCAGCCTGTGTACATTACGCCGGTACGGCTGGAAAGAGCTGCAGATCCTTCATAAGAAAAACCTCGCTATCACGAACAGTCAAGAGAAATGAGCACTCGTAGTTAGAGAGTGTACACCACGTTCACCAGGTGCACTAGTATAGCTTGGAAATCAAGTCGTACTGCAAACTGGTGTGTAAGGAACAGAACATTATTGCTGTGTACTTTCTTTAGCGAGTATTTTCCGAGCCTCTTTCATCAGCTGGTTAGGCCCGAATATTTCGTCCCGAACCACTTCCGGACTCGGAAGTTCCGATACCCAATTGGAATAAACCGAGATGCGAAACTCGCCACCGCACCTCTCGCGCCGAGCCTCGTTTACTTAGCTCCGAGGCCCTCGCTCGGCTCTAGCCTATTAACCTCGTTTCCTATTAACCAAGTGTGTTCCTACTGAAGTTTTCATCTGCGAGTGCAATTTAGCTCATTAGTGAAACCCGCGCACTCCATCGCACAGTCAATCTAAACTATTTCCGCCCCGCTAACCTTTTCGATCCCTTCCCGCGCCCGCTCCCATCGCTCGTCCACCGCCGCGCAAACACACTTGGCGCGATAGACTATACCGCGCTCCTAATCTCAGGGGCCGTGATCCCGCCCGTTTTCAATATTTCCCGTCGCTGCATTCCTCTCGCCTCTCGATACTTCCCGTTGCTCGTGTCTAACCAGTCGCCGCAGTTCTCTCGTCGCCTCGCCACATCTCTCGTCGCCTCGCCACATCCCTCACATCCCTCCGTCATTTGATCCCTTCCGTTGCCACACTGTGGCATCCCTTCCGTCGACACCACTCTCTCGTCGCTCCCTCTCTCCTGTTGTTCAAACCCTCCCCTCAGTGATCTCTCCCGTCTCCCTCCTCCTCACTTACCTCCCTCCTTCCCCTCAGATACCACCTTCTCCACTAGTACCTTCTTCCTGACATTCACCCTAATTTCCATTGCCGGTCGCTCTACTTTCCCTTTCCCGCGGCCCTCGCTTCCCCTCCCATCGCCCTCCGCATCGCCCACGCGCTCCCTGCGTCGCCCTCGCTTCGCCTCCCCGTTGCCCTCGCTTCTCATTCCATCGCCCTCCCCGTCGCCCTCGCTTCTCATTCCATCGCCTTCCCCGTCGCCCTCGGTTCTCATTCCATCGCCTTCCCCGTCGCCCTCGCTTCTCATTCCATCGCCTTCCCCGTCGCCCTCGCTTCTCATTCCATCGCCTTCCCCGTCGCCCTCGCTTCTCATTCCATCGCCTTCCCCGTCGCCCTCGCTTCTCATTCCATCGCCTTCCCCGTCGCCCTCGCTTCTCATTCCATCGCCTTCCCCGTCGCCCTCGCTTCACATTCCATCGCCTTCCCCGTCGCCCTCGCTTCTCATTCCATCGCCTTCCCCGTCGCCCTCGCTTCTCATTCCATCGCCCTCCCCGTCGCCCTCGGTTCTCATTCCATCGCCTTCCCCGTCGCCCTCGCTTCTCATTCCATCGCCCTCCCCGTCGCCCTCGCTTCTCATTCCATTGCCTTCCCCGTCGCCCTCGCTTCTCATTCCATCGCCCTCCCCGTCGCCCTCGCTTCTCATTCCATCGCCTTCCCCGTCGCCCTCGCTTCTCATTCCATCGCCTTCCCCGTCGCCCTCGCTTCTCATTCCATCGCCTTCCCCGTCGCCCTCGCTTCTCATTCCATCGCCCTCCCCGTCGCCCTCGGTTCTCATTCCATCGCCTTCCCCGTCGCCCTCGCTTCTCATTCCATCGCCTTCCCCGTCCTCCTCACTTCCCCTGCCCGTCGTCGCTCCCCGTCGCCCTCGCATCCCCCTGCTGTCGCCCTCGCATCCCCCTGCTGTCGCCCTCGCATCCCCCTGCTGTCGCCCTCGCTTCTCCGCCCATCGCCTTCCCCGTCGCCCTCACTTCCCCTGCCCGTCTTCCTTGCTTCCCCTGCCTGTCGCCCCACTTTCCCCTCTCGGTCGCCCACGCTTCCCATCTCAATGCCTTCCCCGTCGCCCACGCTTCCCCTCACATCACCACATACCTCTATACACTTAACCACGTACCTCTGCCTTTCACTCGTTCAAACACCCGCCCTACATCCCCCCATCTTCCGGCCTCCCTTCTTCTTGATCTACGTCTCCCCTTCCCCTCCTTCCTTCTCTCACTCTCTTCAGTCTCTTTCTCTCCTTCCTTTCCGCATCCTCTCCCCTTCCTGCCCTATATATCTCTCCGTGTTTCACTTTCTGCCCTCCCCCATTACAACTTCCTCCATCTCCCAATTTTTCCCACCTCATTCCCCTTACTTACCTTCTTCCAGCCTCCGACTTACTCCCCTGTCTACCTCGCCCCATCTCTCTCCATCTCCTGATTTACCCCCACATTTACCCCCACATTTACCCCCACATTTACCGCCACATTTTCCCCCACATTTTCCCCCATCTACCTCCCTCCACCAGCTAACCCTCCCTATTCCCCTCACTTACCTCCCTCCACCCCTTAGCTTGCCCCCCTCATTCCCCTCACTTCCTTTCCTCCACCCCTGAACTCCCCTCATTCCCCTCACTCACCTCCCTCCACCGCTTAACCGTCTTCATTCCCCTCACTCACCTCCCTCCACCACTTAATGAACCCCCTCATTCCCCCTCACTTTCCTCCCTCCAACCCTTGGCTAACCTCCTTCATCCCTCTCACTCACCACCCTCCTCCATCCCTTGGCTCACCCCCCTCATTCCCCCACACACCTCCCTCCATCCCTTGGCTCACCCCCCTCATTCCCCCACACACCTCCCTCCATCCCTTGGCTCACCCCCCTCATTTCCCCACACACCTCCCTCCATCCCCCAGTTTTCCCTCTTGAAAAGGACTGCAGGGTGGGAAAGAGGGACGGAAAGGGAGGGGGGAGGAGGCATGGGCTGAGGGGTGGGAGGACAAAGAGGGAAGAAGAGGAAAGAGTGTTGGGGGGAAAGAGAAGGGAAGACTAGGAGGGAGAGGTATGTGAAGGGGGGTGGGAGGCAAGGACGATAGCAAGTACGTATGCTTCCCCTGCCAGTCGCCCTCGCTTCCCCTGCCTGTCGCCCTCGCTTCCCCTGCCCGTCGCCCCTCCTCCCCCCACTCCCCGCCCACTCCCCTCACAAACTGCCTCCCAACCCCCCAATTACCCTGTTCCATCTCCTTACTTACGTCTCTCCCTCCACCATCTAACCCACCTCTCGCCCCCCAGTTCACTAAACCCTCCCTCCTCATTTCCCTCCCACTCTCTATGCTCCTATCCTTCTCTGTCTACCTTCTCTCCTTTGAACTTTTATCCCACCTCCTGATCTCCTACCCTCCGTCCATCCGACCCTCCTTTTTCTCCCAGCCTCCCTCTCTTCCACAATCCCTTACTACCTGCCTCCATGTTTCCCACCCTCCCTTACTATCGTGCTCTGTATTTCATATCTCCATATTTCAAATTTCTCTATCTTCCTGTCTCCATATTTCTCTCCCTGTATCCACGCCTCGCAGAATTCGAGGACTTACTGTGCCAGCACAAGTCAAGAACTGCCCTTACGCACGGGAGTAAAAGGGGGAGGGAGGGGGGATGGGATGTGGAAAGGGAAGGAGAAGAGGAGGAAGGGAAGGGAGCAGCACAGGAAAGGGGCTACCATGTCATCTCTTTCCTCTTCATAACAAGTGCAAGTGAATTTTTGAGATGTCTCATAAAGGGGCCACCATGCCATCTCTTTCCTCTTCTTAACAAGTGGAAGTGAATTTTTGAGACGTCTCAAATGGGGGCCACCATGCCATCTCTTTCCTCTTCATAACGAGTGCAAGTTTTAAGCGCTTCAACAGTAATCTTTCCTACCCAGTGCAAGTAATCTTTTCTTCCATCCAATTTCATTAAACATTGCATGTGAACACAGAAAAACCCGAAACCCCCCCTTCTCTCCTACCTTCTCCTACCTCACTGGCATGCTATAACCAAGCTGGCACCACCAACCAACCTCTCCTCACCATGCAGCTGCATCTACTACCCGCCGCCAACCCCTCCCCCGTTAAGACACGAGCACCATCTTTTCTTTTTCTCACTATCTCGCCATGTTGCTTATGATATACCCAAGATTCTACGCAGCAATGGCATTCACCATGGCAATGGACGGGTTCTTCCAAGCAGGAGGCACCGCATTAAACCCATACCCACCGTTCTTCAGCTTTCCAATCATGAACTGCATGAACGCCTTGGCGATTTTCCCGCCAGACACGCCCGTGAGCGACTTGCGGATGAACCCATACTCCATGGAAACCATTGGAGGGGTCTTGGCTCCGGCCTTCCAGATGAAGTCCACGCTCGCCCACGACCCATCGGCAGCGGGAGGCGAGCCGGTGAGCGCAGCGCCAGCATTCCATGACGGGGGTGCAACGGCTACGTTGGCGGCGTTTTTGAGCGAGGCGATCACGCGCTTCGGGTTGTTGGGCTTCCTAGCGTTGAATGGCACGACGATGCAGCCGCCGGTGAACGCGTAGCCAATAGCGCCCCTGGTATTCAGCACGGCGGCGCACACGGCGCTCGTGCCCTCCACCTTGGTGAGGCCGCCGTAAGTCATGGCCGTGCCGTCCGTGCCGCCGCTGTACCCCGACACTGCCTTGGACCACATAGTCTTGACAATGGCGGTCGTTCCGGACTTGTCGCTGCGCGCCACGGGGGTGATGGCGCCCGCGACCTTGCCCACCGCGCCGGGAACGGCGGACCATGCAGTGATAGCGCCGCTGTAGATCTGGAACGTCTGGGTGGCCGTCAGAACGATGCCGGGCTTTCCGTTGACGAAGAAACTGAAGGTGGAGACGCAGAGCGGCACGGTGATCTTGCCGCCGGCCGGGACGCCGCCCTCTTGGGTGGCGGTCATGGGGTCATCGGAGACGGCAATGAGGTAGGTGCCGCTGTTGAAGCCGGTGATTCCGGAACCGGATCCCACGGAGTCGTATGCAACGACGTCCTGGGAAAAGCCGGGCTTGGCCTTGTTCCATGCCTTGATGATCGCGCCGCCAGCCTGGAGAGAAACATTGCAACGAAGAAACATTTTTTAATGACGTTTTATGAGACGAGAGGATTCACAACGCTGGAAATCGTGCTGCTGATGGTGGGAAAAAAAACAATGTGAAGTGTCAGGGAACTTACAGGTGCGAAGGTTGAAGCTCCGCCCATAAATCCAGCGAGTGACTGTGAAGCGAAAGATGCAATCAGAAAAGCGACTGCGAGGGTTTTGTAGATGGTGTGAGCCATGGTGTGGCTGGCGATGGCTGTAACGATGATCAGTTGAGAGAATTCAGGAATCCAAGAAGCTGCTCTAGTCGTGAGAAATTGGGTTGTGCAAAACGCAGCGGAGCAATTTATGCTTCAGAATTTGTAATTTCGCGCTTCGTGGTTTTGTCGACATGTGGGGCAGGGAAGAATGGCGTTTCTTCCTTGGGACATAGGGTAACACTCTGCCATGCGAATTTACCAGGGTCAGCAGGGGTTGGGCCTGACAAGGCTCACGGATTGGTTGCGACTCTAAGTGACTTCGCGAATCATGTACTGCTTTGTACAGTTGGAGAGTCTAGCTTCAAAGATTGGTTCGCGAATTCTGTTTCCAGCCGCGGCACCAAATGGGTACTGTAGTAACACCCGTACAGGCAGTGCATGGTCGGTTGTTTTCGGTTGTTTACCGTACTGTACCAAATATGCGACGCGAAAGGGATCTTTTAAAATGGAATCTTCACTTATGCTGCAGCGGCTCCGACAACAACACGCGCTCCCCCACCGTTGGTGGCGTGTAAGGAAAATCACTTTTCCTTTCTTTGCGTCCCTGCATACAGCGTACACGATTCATTTTTAGGGCGCTTGTGATCTTTGAATTTTGTAAGGTTTACAGTTTTTAGCTTGATTGTTATTTTTTGTTGATATAACTAAGGGATAAGACTTGCTGGGTTGTAGGAGGACAACAAAGTCTTCTAGTGACCTTGCTAATGATAATTGAAAGAGAACAATATCATTTTGGAATAAGAGTACAAGAATATAAATAGCAATTCTAGCTACCCATGTACTTTGAGGGGTACAATCCCTTATTCAACTGTTTTGTTACAGTAACCGCGACAATTGCTATTCTTGGTAGTTGCCTCATTACATCGTGTAACCTTCGAATAGGGGTTACTCAATGGTGACGTAACCTTTGAGTGCGGTTGCTGATGGTCAACTGCTGAGGCTGTTGACTTTGCGTAACTTTCAACTGACGCGTGCTGTATATGAGCTAGTGCGGTATTGATACAGGTCTGCTCCGTTGAGAAGTGATCCGTTAAGGCGAACCTTCGGGAATATTATAATAACCTTTCGGTTATTCCAACACTCTCCTTTATTCCTGAAGGTGAGCCACGTGAGATTTCTTCGAGATCCCCCAGAAGTTGGCGCAGTGCTGAAATTTCTGACGTGGCAGCTTCTTGGACAAGAAATCTGCTGCCATGTCACCGGTTGGGCAGTACGTGAGTTTGACCTTGCCCTTGTCGATTTCGCCATTGACGAAGAAGTAACGGAGTGCGATGTGCTTTGTGCGGTTCATGAAGTCCGGCTTGTTCGCGATCTTGACCGCGCTTTGATTGTCGCATAGTAACGTGAAGTGCCCGTTTATTGCCACTTTCGCTTTTCGCAGAAGCTCCATCGGGTACAACCCTTCGCGAACAGCCGCACGGGCGGCGATGAACTCAGCTTCGGCTGACGAAAGAGCAATGAGCTCTTGCTTCTGGGAGTTCCAGGAGATGAGTCCAGCAGGTTGGAATTGAAAAATGAATCCTGTGCGGGAGCGTCTGTTGTCAATATCTCCCGCATGGTCTGCGTCTATGTAGTTGTGAAGCTGCAGGGTAGCAGCTATGTTAGCCTCGTAGGTGAGCCCGATGTCAGGGGTAGAGATGAAATATTGGAGTGCTCGGCGTAGATCTAGCAGATTCTCCCCTTCAGGTCGACACAGATACTACGCGAGCTGGCTAGCGACGTAGGAGAGATCTGGCCGGCACCTGACGGTGGCGAACAGTAGGCACCCCAGCTGCTGCTGATAGAGGCGATGGTTCTTTGTAGACAGCGGTGTGGTGTCGGGTTCGTGATTGGGAGGAGTGCGGAAGGGTGTGGTGAGGTTGATTGGAGCGATCGCGAATTTCTTCGCGAGCGTTTCCGCATACTTGGCGGCGGAAAGGTGGATGGAGGTGGCAGACTGGGTGATGTTGAGACCCAGGAACTGAGTGATATTGTGGTTGATGGTCACTTCCAACTTCTCCTTGATCTCCTCTTCGAATCGGTCAAGCAGCTCCGCGTCATCGCCGGTCTAAGGTCGTCGACGTAGGTGATGAGGAGGATGAACTTGCCTCGCGATTCCTTCCGGTACATCCCTTGGTCGTGCGACAGCTGAGCGAATCCAAGTTCCGTTAGAACAGTATGCAGGAACTGCTGTCACAGACGAGGAGCTTGTTTAATGTCGTAAAGGGATTTCTGGAGGAGGCAGACGGCGCCGTCGTTTTTTTCGAATGTGTGTGGTTGCTTGACAAAGATGATGGCGTCAGCAGGTGCGTAAAGGAATGCACTTCAGATGTCGATCTGTCGGAGTGGATGTTGTTTGACGGCGGCGATGCAGATGAGGATGTGAACCGAGGTGTGCCGTCCGACGGGCGCGAATGTCTGGTCATAATCCACCATGTGAGTTTGCTCGAAGCCGCGTACCACCCATCGTCATTTGTATTTATCAATTGCGCCATTCGCGAGGGTTTTAATCTGGAAGATCCATTTGCTGCTGAGTATCTTTCTCCCCTTAGCAAATGAGCGGGGAACGAGCCTCCCAGTCCCGAGACGATTTAGTACTGATACTTCTGCCCCCATGGATGCCTTCTATTTCTCGCTGTCGGGTCCAGACAAGGCCTTGTGAACGGTGGTGGGTTCCTTGGAAGAGATGTGGCGAACAGTGACGACGAGTCCAAGGATGTGGAGGAGAGTTTCGTTGGTCTTTTCGTAAGCGAGGCAGTCGTAGTCGTGGAAGCTTGTAACTCGACTACGTCGTTGTTGCTGCCGTGCCCGGTGCGGATGGTGTCATGCAAAGATTTCGGTGAGGTAACTCAGTGTTCGGGAATCGGCATGCTGTGCTGTTGTAGTTGTGGGCTTCACGAGTTGTATCGTCAGGATCGAATTGGAAAACGGGTATGCATGTTGGAGTCTTGAATAGGTTTGTAAGGGGGATGTTGGGAGCAGAGTCAAATTGTGTGACGTCCGTTGCGTCTGCATCCTCTGCCAGGTCAGCCTTATCCTGTGATGTGGCGAAGCTGCGGTGCCCCTCGAAAACCCTTTCCGGTGCCTAGTCAGCTTCGCGGTGTTCCTTGAACAGTGGCAGGGTCAGCTTCTCGTAGAAGATGCAGTCACGTGATTTCGTCACTTCGTATGTCGCGTAGTCCAGCTCGATCCACGCCTTGTTTTCCTTTTCGATCCCGAGGTGAATGCCCCAGCGTGCCCGATCGGCAAATTTTCCGGTCCTTGCTGTGTGTGGCCTATACGGTACCCTACAACCAAACACCCGAAGAAGACGCGTATCCGCTTTTCTGCCCGTCCAAGCTTTGTAGGGCGAGGTGTTGTTCTCGAGGCTTCGGGAGGTCAGCAAGTTGATGATGATGCAGTCAAAGGCTAGAGAGCGAAGGTCGATGTTGATGGCCCAGATGTAGCGTGTGCATGCGTCGATGAAGGTCATCATATACTGCTCTGTCGAAACAAGTTAGGAACAGAAAAGAGAGGGTTTGAACTAGCAGGCAGTTGAGTACAAATAGCAAACCCTAGATTGGGCTGTACTCGCTATAGAGTACCCCATTGCAGGCTAGACAATATAACATTCTGACACACCCCCATAGCCAAAGTGGGGTGTAATCAGCAGAGCAAGCAAAGCAGTACAAGCTCAGGGTGGATCACGATGTCACCACACATTCTGAGCACAAGTTCAAGAAGCAATAGTTTCAAGTTCACAATTATGAGCAAAGCTAGAGGCAGTCACAGAGGGCAAGTGAGGAGGAAAGCTTGCGAGAGGAGAGTAGATTAGGAGGCGACGACTGAAGCTGCAGACACACGGGCAACAGACGGCTCTGGTGCGACACAGTGGCTACCGGGAATGAGTGCCCCGGAGTACAGGAGTAACAGGCTCCGCGGCTAATACGCGCGGCAGGAGCAACGGACCCACAGGCGACGGCGCAACCGGCTCTCTGAGCTACCGGGAATGAGTGCCCCGGAGTACAGGCGCTGCGTACGACACGACGGCAACCTCCGCTCAATCTCCCCCAACAGTCCCACACCCCTCGACACACACCCCCTGCTTCAAACCCTAGCTCCACTCCCACGGTACCCCCCTTAAACCCCAAACCCTAGGCTCCCACACACCACCCCCCTCAGCGGCAGCTGTAGCAGAGGGAGACGAGGGAGGAGGAGGAGCAGGGGGAGTAACTCACAACCGACACCCCCATAGCCGCCACCCCCACACTCCACATCCCCAAACCCTAAAACGGGTGGGATAGGGGCAGGAGCGCGGGGGACGGCGAGAGGGGGACCGCGCGCAACCCCAGGGCGCCAAAACGGACGGACGGGGCGGGGGGAGGGAAGTGACGCGCGCGGCTCCCCAGAGTGCCGCGGCGGACTGGCGGGGAGGGGACGCGTGCGGCTCCCCAGGGCTCCGCGACGGACTGGCGGGGCGCGTGCGGGCTCCCCAAGGCGCCGCGACGAACGAGCGGGGCGCGCGCGGGCTTCCCAGGGCGCCGCGACGAACGAGCGGGGCGCGCGCGGGCTCCCCTGGGCGCCGCGACGAACGGGCGGGGCGCGCGCGGGCTCCCCACGGCAGGAAACCGCCGCGCGCCACGGGGCGCACGGCGGGCAGAAAACCGCCGCGCACCTCGGGGCGCACGTCGGGATGAAACCCTAAAAATTTTCGCCGCGCGCGGAGCGCGCGGCAGGAAGAAGACGACGCACGCCCGAGGCGCGCGAGAAGCATAACAGCAGCGGAAGCAGTTAGGTGGTGGGCCCACCCACAGGATCAAACCAAGGGGGTCGACCTGCTCTGATACCATGTCGAAACAAGCTAGGCAGAAGTTAGGAACAGAAAGAGAGAGTTTGAACTAGCAGGCAGTTGAGTACAAATAGCAAACCCTAGATTGGGCTGTACTCGCTATAGAGTACCCCACTGCAGGCTAGACAATATAACATTCTGACATGCTCGCCGTCGAGTCCCGGTTGGGTAA